GCTGCCAAAATATACTCTTTTTATGTCAATTGTGACTGACGCCATACTCATCAGGCATATTTCTAGGAACATGCCAGATTCCTCTCTGTGGAACAGTTTCTTGAGCTCCGTAGTAATCAATTTGTGCTAAGATCTGTTCTCCGGTGAGATATGGAGGAGGACTATCCCTGACAGTTTTTTTGTGCCTAAACAATGTCTTATTTCTTCGGTACGGATGGGTAAGGGGAAGAAAACGACGATGACAATCAAACCAACAACTCTTCCTACCATTCTTAAATTGAAAAGCATCCATTGATCCAAGACAATGTGGACAAGATAATCTTCCATGTGTAGTCCATCCAAACAACATCCCATAGGCAGGAAAGTCACTAGTCGTCCACAGTAGAACTGCTCGCATCGTAAAATTATTTCTCAAAGAACAATCATACGTCCTCACCCCTGAGGACCACAAGTCTTTCAGCTCTTGTATCAATGGCTGAAGAAAAACATCTAGCGACCATTTTGGATGCTTCGGACCAGGGATTAATATTGTCAAGAATAAAAATTCTTGTTCCATGCACATCTCCGGAAGTAGGTTGTATGGCGTAAGAATAACTAGCCACAAAGAATATTGCCTCACAGACATTTCAAAAGGAGAAAATCCGTATGTGCATAATCCAAGATAAACATTCCGAATGTTACTGGCGAAATCAGGGTGTTCCTTGTTGAAATGTTTCCAAGCTCTTGCATCTGATGGATGAGCAAGCTCACCATCCCTCTGGACATGTTCACCATGCCACCTCATTGCTCCGGCAGTTCTCTCCGATTGATATAATCTTTTCAACATGTCTGTAATTGGTAAGTACCACATCCTTTGGTACGGTACCCTATTCCTCCCCCGACCTTGCGGTTTAAATTGTGGCTTCTTGCAGAATCGACACTCTTCTAGATTCTCATCGTCTCTCCAGTAGATCATGCAGTTGTCAATGCAAACATCTATCTTCTCCAAAGGCAACCCGAGACTATAAACCTATTTCTGAATCTCATAATAAGAACCAACTGACACATTGTCTTCTGGAAAGTACTCTTTGAACAACTCGGCCCATGCATCCATGCAATTCTCAGAAAGATTATGATTCGTTTTAATATTCATCATCCTAGCTGCTAGAGACAATTTAGAGAGACCTTCTCTACAATCAGTGTAGCTTGGTTGATTTGCAGCTTCTAGCATTTCGTAAAACCTTTTTGCATCCAAATTAGGTTCTTCCACATTTCTAGTTTCATCAGCTATTGTTGTAGTAGTTTCTAAAAATTCATCAGTAATCATGTCGTGAACCCTATCATGATCTACCATATGTTCCTCCTGATGGTAACTATTTTCGTTATGCAGATGATTCGATTCCTGATTATCAGCATTATGATAATTACTATTACTACTACTAGCTTCATTTCCACCATAACCTTCTCCATGTTGAAACCAAATATAGTAATGTGGTGTAAACCCTCTGTGTACTAAATGTTTCCATACAGTTTCACTACGTGCAAATTTTGTATATTTTCACTTCAGACAAGGACAAAACATTTTACCGCTTTCCTGCATGAGCGGTATACAGCCTGCCTGGTGCATGAATGTCTCTAGCCCGGCAAGAAATGCATTCGTCACTCTACGGACGGAATCTTTATGTGTATACATCCAACTCCGTAATTCGTAAATATTTCCACCTCCAGACATTTTTTTTATTTGTTTTCTTTTGTGTAGATTTGGAATGAGAATAGTGATATATATATGGAAATTTTTTCGGATTTGGTAGGTGAAAACATTTACAAGTGATTTACAAGGAAACCAATTTAGTAGGATTTTACAATTTTTTAACCTGGTTGTTACAATGCATTTACAAAAACACTTGTGGTAGTTGAACTACACTTAAAATATGTTTTCACGTACCAAAAAGTAAGATGTCATTGTAAAACACATGTTAATTTACATGTCTTTTATGACGAATATGAATTTTCGTCGTATATTCATTGTAATTTACGATGAAATTACTATGAATCATAAAAATATATTTAAAACTCTATCGAATAAATAACTTGGGCATTTTCTATGTAATATCGACGTAAATTTACGACGAAAGTAATGTAAAAAACTAAAAGGAGTTTACAGTCATCGGAAAAGTTTTTATCAACCCCCCATAGCTTTCCTCGAGCTATCTACTCGAGGAAAAGCCTCGAGCTACTTCCTTGAGAAAAAGCTACGAGGAGTTGATAAGAACTTTTCTGGTGACTATGCACTCCCTTCAATTATAAATTATATGTTTTGTATTTTGTTTTTAACAGTTCCTAACAATCCCGCATAGCTTTCCTCGAACTATTTACTCGAGAAAAAGCTATGAGGAATTGATTAGGAACTATTCCGATGACTATGTACATTTTTCTATTTGTTGGTGTGTTTAGAAGAATGATCAAATGACCTATATATAAGAAATTTTCAAGTTTGGTAGGTAAGGTGTAACAATGAATTTACAAAGTTTTTAAAATGAAATATTTTACTTGTCATTTACAACTTAACCACATGCGTTTTACAAGAGTTTTACAATGAATATAGTTAGGTGAAGCTCACTCCATAAATGTTTTCTCGAATAGTAACTTTAACAGGACTCGTCATAAACATCACGTAACATTATAAGTAAGTTACGACGAAATTTCTCTTTCCTTGTTCCCCGTCATTATTTTACATCTGTCTTATGACGAAATCTATTCCACGTAATTTTATGTGGTCTTTACGACAAACTCAATATTCGTCGTAAACTCCGCATAATGTACAAGTAAGTTTACGACGAATATTTTTCATCCTAAATTGTCGTCGTTATAGAAACGTTTTCTTGTAGTGGTGATCAAACAATTTTAAAATAATCTAACCGATAACCTAGTTTAGAGTTTCTTGATTCCAACAAACGATTTTGATCTTAACCTTAGGGTTTCAGAATTACTTTAACCTCTAGTCGGGTTGAACGGACCACCAATGAGATAAGGATCGACGAACACGGGAAGGTCGAGACTAAAAACGGGTCCACGCGGTTGTGAGCTGGAATGGCTTGAGTAAGGGTCGCGAGCTGGCTGAGATCGGAAAATTTGAATGCGGGATGAAGGATTCTCGATCAGAATGAGCAAGGTGAGATTGGCGGCTGAGCAAGGTGAGATTGGCGGCTGAACAAGGATTAAGGTTTCACACCGGCAAAAAGGTTATCGCCGTCAAGGGTTAGGGTTTTGTGGTTGGAACCTTTTAGCTTAGGGTTTTTAGAGTTTCGTGCTGATAACGTATTGTAAAATTATAAGGGAAAGTTGTATCTTTCATTCATAACATAAGGTCGCTTTATATAGGGTTACAAGATATAGAAATATCGAAAGATTACAAATCCTAAACTCATAAGGAAAAGGAAATAGTACAAAACCTAATATAATAGGGAAAAGGGAAAAAGACCAGGCGGTTTGGTCTATGACCGGTTAGGACTATCCGGCCTGGTTAGGGCAATCCACAATATGATTTATAACATTTAGCTAATATTTAGGAATATTCATATTTAAAATCAATTTTAACAATATAAAACTAGGATATTGTTACCATTAACTATTTTGAACAAATTTCAAATTTAAAATTGATATTAAACATTATAAAAATATTCTTAAAATATATGTTTAACCATTACTATTACGATTGATTATTATGAACAATAAAATCTATATATGCTAAGATTTAAATATCTTTAAATTACTTGTAGAACAATATAAAATGCATATAACCGAATATTCATTTTTAATATAACTAAATGTTTTCTAATATTACATATATTTATAAACTTTCAAAAATATATATTTAATCATCTTGGTTAGTATTGATTATTTTCACCAATAGCATCTATTATAATAAGATTTTTATATCTTTAAATTATTTGTAGAACAATATTTAATATTTATAATCCAATATTATTTTTCTAAGGTATCTAAATCTAACCATACAGTCTCATATATAATCAAAATATTTAAAATATTATTAAATTTTTAAAAAAATTAATGTAAAAAATATTATTCAAACATATTAGTAGGTTAATATTTGTCCATAAGTTTAGTAAGGCGTGCGGGTCATTATTTTTACAGCATGTAAATTATTTGATTATTGTATTTTAAATTTTTTTAAATATGATAAATATTTAAAATATTAACCGATAAAAATATAATAATATCTATGTATGTACAAATAAAAATAAATTCATGCGCAAGTGCGTGGATCTATCTCTAATTTATTATTATTAAATAAGTTCATGACCAAATCTGGTTGAACATAAACATACGCAACATATTGCATGATTATATCTATAAGATATCAAATAAATTTCTACATTAAAAATTTAGACATAAAATGTTTAATATATAAGAATATAAGTATTCTAAAAGTAAACTCATGTGAATTTATTTCTAAGATCTAAAGTAAACAATATCATATTAATCAACAATATCATCGTAATCCCAACAATTAGTATCATATGACTCTTTATAATTCATACTTTGTTCTTCAATTGTTTGAGTTATAGTTAATTAGATTAAAAATATGTTTTATTTAGAAAATTTATAAAATTAAATATTTTATTAACTTTATGTTCATGACTCAAAACGTCAAGTAATAAAAGACTGTAGAAGTACATCATAAAGTTTTTCTAGATAGAGATCGAAGTAAACCAAAGAATTTGAAACAGTGAAAACATTGTAAAAAGACAAACAAAATTCAATAAAGTGAACTGCACAATGTCAAAACCTCTATTTAATTCCTTGGAATTTTCCTTCGTAACATCATTACTTTCATTTAATTCACCGAAATTCTAGTGCGGAGTAAGAAAAATACGCCCCTTCTGTAACCATCACAATTAATAATGGAAGACTCGCAGTCGACCAAAGACTTGGAAAAGTCTTTGAATCAAACAATATAGATTAAGTTATATAAATATTCTTTTCAAATAAATACTCGTTTCCTCCTCCTAGCTTCATTACTTCACAAACCAGCAAGAAAACATAATAAAGAAAATGATAAAAATGGTGTTAAGGTTTGTGGTAATGGTGATAGTGTTTGCACAAATCTTAGCTCCAATTGCTGAAGCTGCTCAGGGAAGAGCCGTCTTTTACGACCCTCCCTACACTAGTGCGTTTATATACAATCATACATATCTATCATTTATAATTATATGTTATAAATCATTCTTTTTAATAAAGTATTAATCATTGGTTACAAATCAATGATGTGATTCAGGGTCTGCTTGTTATGGAAATCAATATGAAACAATGGTGACTGGAGTCAGGAACAATCTGTGGCAAGGAAGCCGAGCTTGTGGTCGGAGGTACAGGGTTCGATGCATTGGTCCTACTTACAACTTTCGGGGAGCGTGCACGGGACGTAGCGTAGTCGTCAAGGTTGTTGATTTATGCCGGGAGCCTTGCAATGGCGACCTTAATCTCTCTCGTGACGCTTTTAGAGTCATTGCTAATACTGATGCCGGCAACGTCCGCGTCGAATATATTCCGTAAGTTGCATTCTAAAATCTACTATTCATCAGTTTTCTGTTAAGTATATTACATATTTATAGATCGACACGACTGCAAGATCTACATATGTTAACCTATATATTCTAATGAATTTGAAAAATTTCTATAATTATTTACAATTCTTTTCTGCAGGATATGAAATTGAATACACTAAATAAGCAAATAAAGTGAGGAGTTAACTTCACGGTGTACTATTCCAATAAATCGAATGGAACATGTATAATCTTGCTTAATGTTTGTTATATGTGTGGATGGTCCTTTGTGATGAAATAATTGTATTTCAAATAAGATTTTTTTTTTCCACACCAAATAAGAATTTTAGTGTTTATATTTTTACAAGTATCTTATATATAAAAACAAAAATAATGACTTCATTTCATGTGTGATATTTAAAAAAAATGAATCTTTCCTAGAAAGTTATGTTTTATTTATTATTAGTGGTATTCCGGCTGTACGCGCCGGATTCGTATGTTTTATTAGTTAATGAGTTCAAAATTATTTGTAACCCTGAAATTATCAGTATCTATGGATAAATTTTTACATTGGATGTATAAATTATTTTATCTGCTTCGTATGATGTTTTTGGGAGATGTTAAAATTAGATGATCGATACATGTTTCTAGCAAACATAGATTGAATTATTGTATTTTGTAGTTGTTGGACATTCTTTCTTTTTGTTGTTCATTAGGATATATAGTGTTTTCTACAAAACAGTAAATTAGTCATTTGTTCGAGGGGAGATTTCATTATGCATTAAGGTACTATATCTTCAAAAGTATCTTAGTAGAAATGAGAGGTTTCTGTTTCTAAATTTCCAACGTTTGTCTTCAATTGCTTTATTGGTGATTTTTGAATTAGAAATTTATTATAATTTGCTAATTATTGTTTAATTTTAGGTTAATAGATGTGTACTTCTATAATTTTAGAGTCGTATGGTTTTCGTTGTTGGATATGACGAAAAGAAAATAATAGGTTTTTATGATATTTGAATGTGTAGTGAGAAGACAAATATCATCTGCCAAAAAATGATAAGCATTTATATCATTTACTTTTTCTTTGGTTTACTCCAGTTATGACTGTTTTGTTATTGGTTAGTGGTAATAGTTTTAATTTTCTTTAATATAGAGGAAATTGCATATGAACTTTGAAACTTTGATTGTAGGCGATTTGAGATGACTAATGAATGAGTGATATGACATGAAAATAACTTTATTTATTTGGGCTAGTTTTGGCTTATTGTCCATTTGAAGTTGGATGTTATGTTTCATGTGAATGTAGTTGACGCTGTAGTTATGTTGTTGGTTTACTAAATATGTTCCATACCTTGATTTCCATGTAACCTATATTATGTTGTGAATCATTTTTTTTTTGTCTACTAACGTGTTTTTTTGTCACATCTATGGTTATGTTTAGTAACTTTTGGTGTAATGTAATAGGAGATCCATTTAGGATAAAACGGTTTCATGTGAACGTTATGCATTTATCTTATTTAAAAAAATACAAATAAAAGTACTCCGAAAAATTACAATTTATTTACAAATCGATATCACTGAAATACTAAATAACTCTAACTTTAAATAATTTTGTATTTTATAATTATTACGTCATTTCTTAAAATAATTATAATTAACAAAGAAATAGACAGCAATAAAATCAAAATCAACACTATATTTATTTTGTAGGTTTCAACAATATCACAATAAACAATAAACAGAGTACTCTAAAATTAAAATTAGAAATTTGTGGCTAAAATCGTGCCTTTTATTATTTTTGTATATTTTGTATAAATAATATTTTAATATAAATTCAATATTATAAATGTAAGATAGTATGAAATATATAGAAAAATGTTTAAAATATTATTAAAATTAGATATTTAAATGAGATGATATGAAATAATAGATTCTTACAATTGGGCCTAATTAATTTAAAAATCAATTAAAATTCAAATAAATTAAAAGATATTTATAACTGAGACTAATAATTATTCAACAAATTATAGAATGAGAAGTATCAACTTTTGCTTCCCATAGAGAGAAAAAATGTACTTTATTAATAAAGATAAATATCATTTTGGCATAATAACTGAATCACCTCATATATTATCTCACTCAAATAACTACCTTGCCTGTATATTGGTTTGGTTTACCCAAATAATTTATCATCATTAATAAATCATATTAAAGATTGGCATTCTCTTATTCTTCATATACTTTATAAATAATACTAAAACAAATCTAACCTATTCTTCATAAGGGTAACTCTTAAATCGGTTTGATTTATACAATTAATAAATAAATGTGGTTGTTTAAAACAATTAACTGAATAAAAAAATATAAACAATAAAATTATATTTTTGAAAAAATAATATGAATATATAATATATATACATAAAATTGAAATAACATCTGCACGGTTGCTTGGATCAATGTTTAGAAATAGAAACAAAAGTTTCTTTTAAAAATAATCTTTTAAAATACTTCTTCAATTCAATTTTGAAAATTAATAAATTTAAATTCTTATTATCTTTAAAATATTTTCATTAAAATACTATTAAAAGTATTAATAGTATTATATATAATTATTATTTTTTGCATTCAAAACTAAACTAAAATTTAGTTTTAAATTGATTTATGATAATTATAATTTCAAATAACTAATTTCGAAATTATATTTTAAAAGATTCTATAAGATTTTTGAAAGATTGTGGTAGAATTTTCTTTGAAATATTTATTTTCAAAATAAAAATAAAGATATTAAAAGATATTATAATTAAGTTAAGTAAAATTTAATAGTAAATATATTTGAAAAATTCTAACAAACTGAAAAAAATTATTTCAACAAGATCTCAAGTTTTAAAATTTTATGTAAATATTCTAATTTATTAATTAATAAGAAAATATTACTATACCTTAATAGATGTCCAGTTATCGTTTATAAAATGAAAAATATTATTTTATCATATTTTTATTTTTTAAACCATAATCATTCATATTAAAATAATTATTATACCAAATTAAGTATAATAAAATTCTTTTTAATATTTTTTATTTTTTTAATATAAATTTTATGTTCCAATAATATAATATGTTAGCAACACAATTTAACATACTAGACTATATAGTACATTCTACAAAATAACATATATAAATTTTTATATATACAACAATATATTATCTAAAATGAATAAATATAAAAAAATTACTAAATGGTAATCTAGAATTTTGAAGTACGGGTAAGAATTTAGCATAAAGTAAATACAAATTAATTTTAAATATATTGTTTTATACTTGATTTTTTTAATAATCAAATGTAAATCTAATAAGATAAGCGTATAGTAAAAATGATAAATACATGTGATTGTTTGAAAAATGAATAATTATGACATATAAACTATAAATTATTATATATGAAATATTTTAATAAATATTTAAATATATAATTAACATTAATATCAATATATATATATATATATATATATATATATATTTATATATGAAATTAAACATCCGCGTGGTTGCACGGATAAAGTGTAGTTAAATTAATTAATTAACAGATTGACGGTTTATATTGGACATCTCTATTCTAGGGTTAAAATATTTACAAACCTATAAAGAAATAGAAATAATAACTAACCACTAAAATAATTGTAAATTTTGAAAAAGAAAACTGGCGTGGGACCTTCCCATTATCTCCTTACAGCCGGCCATGTTCTTGTTGGAGAGAAACATATAGGACCATGATAACTTGTTTTTGCACTAAGCAAGCCATTTATTTAAGGGACCCTTTGTTTGGTACGTGCAATCACACGATATCTTAGAAAATTGAAGATCAAAGGAGTGGTTAGAAATCAAGATCTTTCTGTATGATACCACCATATTGGATTATGTAGACAGCCTTCTGGTTATATTAGGAGCAAGTGTTGTTTCATTGATTTTCACAAACCGTTTGGTTGTTCACAAAAGTTATTAATAAGAGATGAGAAGACTAAACATATATTGAAAAGCTCCAATATGAAGTTGCAGAACAGCCAGCCAAAGAGGGGTTTCTTCTGGCTTCTGGGATCTACTTGAACATGTTTGGTGGTGCAGCCGTGGAATGACTGTCTCTCCCTGGATCACTTGAAGGGGGCGTGGGTGGATGATAGATGATGAATATGGTCTCTTCCTCAGAGCTATATGATGCTCCAAAGATGGCTTTCTGCTCCACTGACACAGGATCACCCTGCTTAGTGTCTAGAATGGATCACAGAGATAATCCTTGCAAACAGAGAATCAGAGACTCGATCTGTATCAAGGCTT